TTGAGAGAAGAGGGGGGTGGGGAAATGATGACCTTCTAGGAGGGGCAGAGACACAAACTATTGCAAGAGTTGGGTCAGGATGAGAACATATTCTCCCCAGAACAAAAGTGGGTCGCAAACCCATGTCCAGTGGGTCGCCACATGCCTTCCACTTTTCTGGGTGAGAGGATCCTCAGTCTCCCCCTAGAAAAGCACTGTCAGTTCTCGCACCAAGCAGCCATTCAAAAATATGATGCCCGTTGCCGAGTGTCGACTTGAGGTCGGGCTATGGCCTCGACGGAGCTCCATCCATATGTGCATTGCTCACAGCTTATTACATTCTGGCTCCCGGCACCTCTATGGGCGTGCACAGGAGCTTTACAAGCAATGCACATATGGATGGAGCTCCTTTACAGCACAGCAGCCCACACTGGACCCCAAGTTGAGGATCCACTCCAGTTTCCGAAATTGCAACACAAACGCACCTCCCACCCACAGTTCGATTGCCTGCACCGGAAAGCGCAGTATCGCAACATGGAACATTTCAGTGCATCTTGGGTCGCAACTTAATGACCAAGGACAAATGTGGGTCCCAAGGTTACACACGTTAAGAACCACTGCTTTAGAGGAATTCATTAGAAAAGTGACAAGTTATCCAACAATCAGGAAAAGAGTGGATAGATGCAGGCATGACATCACCAGCATAGTCATGCTGACTTTATTTTCCCAAAAACTGCTGCATTCTGTAAAAAGAGGCAATTTCGGAGACCAATGGCCTATGTGTCTGCAACCTTAGAATAGAAACATTTCAGAACAACAGGTGACCATTGGGATTTAGCAGTCAGGGTGCCATCTGGGCAAATGAATGTCTCACAATAAATTAGTATACAGGTGAAACTCGAATAATTAGAATATCGTGCAAAGTTAATTTATTTCACTAATGCAACTTAAAAGGTGAAACTAATATATGAGATAAACTCATTACATGCAAAGCAAGATAATTCAAGCCGTGATTTGTCATAATTGTGATGATTATGGCTTAGAGCTCATGAAAACCCCAAGAACCCCAAATCCACAACCTCAAAAAAGTAGATTATTACATGCAATCAATAAAACAAGGATTGTACATAGAACAATATCGGACCTCTGAAAAGTACAAGCATGCATATGTACTCAGTACTTGGTTTGGGCCCCTTTTGCAGCACTAACTGCAATTACTTTTGCATGATATTCTAATTATTCGAGTTTCACCTGTAACTGCAAAATGTGTACCTTTAACACTTCTGTTGTCACACATTATACCCCTTATGGAGCAAGACAAATTTTTAAATGCCAGCCTATTGATTGGGCTGTAACTTTGTCATTACATAAAGTAGGGAGATAGCCTTAGAATTAAGCATTGCTGGTGGGTAGGTCTTGCAAAACAAAACTGTGCAGCTGAGTGTACATTCTCAGCATGCCTTGGTGTCGGGATATACTAATTCCTGCGCGTGTGCACAGTTCCTGGTCCAGCTAATCAAGATGGCCGGAGAAGCTGATCCCATAAGAAGACCAGGGGAGGATATTGGGGGTAACAAGGGAGCTCACAGATATTGCATTACAGAAGGCCAGGTAAATACAGAGGACTTTAGTTCTGCTTTAATGATAATTAAGTAATACTTATACTGTATTTTTTTTTGGGGGGGGGGGGGGGGGGACAATGCTTTTACTTGGCAATATTATGGGGAAAAAATATGTTTTGCATGTAATCTATAGACAAAAAGATGTAAGAAAACCAAAATATACACTTTTGTTTTTTACCAGTGCTTGTAAGCTATTCTTACTGAGAAAAAGTGCTACAGAGCATAGCAAAGTTATTAGTCATTAGTCAAATATTGTTTTTAATTGTATGATATTTTGTTCAATGTGTTGCTGCAAAAATACAGTAACAATTTTTTTTTAAAGTTTCAATATGCATGGTAAAAAAATAATAATAAATCAGCAAAAAAATTGCTTTAGGGAGAAGGGGAAAAAGAAGTTCATTGGGGCTGGTTAGCGTTATTAAAGGGTTAAATAGGTACAATCTTTAGGTGGTGAGCCAGTTTCTATTTCAGTGAGAAATAGAAACTTTTGTGGGTTCCACAGCTAATTTAAAAAATTGGTTTTTTTTGGCAGAAAACTGCTGCAGGTCCCACCAGACTGGACCTAGCATATGGCATCTGAACTGTTTCCAGGTAACCTGACAGACAGCTCCCATGCCTCTCTCAGCTTATAGGCAAGAAGAGCTCCTTTCCCTGCCCTTATACCCAGTTGTTAACCCCGACACATGCATGGCTATCAGGCTTCCTCCTCCCTCTGAGTGGGGCAGAGGGAACCGGAGCAAGCAGCTCCCCCTTTGCTTATTAGGATCAGGATCTATGCTTGTACCCAGGGGTATCCCTGAGGAAGGAATGGGGGTGTGTGTGCTGGTGCTGCATGCTAATAATCGGGGGATGGAGCTTTGGCTCTGGCCTCATACCTGCCCAGTTCCTGGCAACCAGTAACATCACTGGTTGCCAGGAGCTGAGTGGGATGCCAGCAAGAGCGTCCCAGGTTGCTAAGAGGTGAGCTGGGAGATGTGTATGGCCATTACACATCTCACAGCCCAGCTTTTAGCAAACTGGGATGCTCTGCCTGCCACCCCCCTCCCCCCCACATGACCCAAAAAGCCACAGGCTGACTCATTAAAGAGATGACCCTGCTTGTACCACCCTTTGTTAATTCCCCCCAGGGCCGGATTTACTTTCTCTGCTGTCCCAAGGCCAGGTTCCTCAACGTGCCCCCCTACCTGCCAACCCCCCCACCATGGAGAATGGGAGACCTGCAGGCTGCATACAATGTCGGCAAGATCACGTGTACAAAACAAGCGGCGGCTTCCCCACTGTACATTTAGCTCTGCTTGCCCAAAGCAGGGCTAAATGTAGAAAACAACTACCCACCCGGGCATCGAGAGATATCAGTTCCCAACCCCTGCTGCCCCTTTACTCCCTGCTGCCCCAAGGCTGGGCCTTGGTTGGCCTTGTGGGAAATCCGGCCCTGATTCTCCCCCTATGTATTAGTAAATAAAGCCTGCAAATATTGTTTATAAGGGAGCCACCGTCATTGTTCCTGTAACACAGAACGAGATTGGTTGATTTCTGACAGCTCCAAAACCATGGCAGGGAAGAAACACAAGTGTATACCAGGTATACTTTGTTGAAGTTTTGTTTAGGGCATAGCGGGTATGGCCATGGTTCATAATTTGTCAAGATGGGTTCTATTAACCTGGTAGAAAACTAAGCACATGGCTTATCTGTACTATCACTAGAACTATGAACAGGCACGCTATTCTCATTCCTGGAGCTCAAATTGGCTCCTTGATGCTATGCATGCTGGGTAATACACAAAAGCCTGCTTTTGAATCAAACTGCCTTCATTAAATATAATGTTAGTTAACAGCACAGTGTCAGCGATAGGGCTGTGTGTACAATGTATGTGTAATTTGCTAAAACCTGTGCTACAAAATGCATTTGTTGACACAGCGTGTGTGTGAGCGAGAAACCACAATGTTTATATAGACACTTGGCCAATTTATTTATGTCTGAAGATCCGGCTTTGATTGAGCTGAGAAAACAGATCATAACTGAGAATCCTCGTCATGAAGAAAAAGATCCCAGCCGAGCTTTCCTACCCGCACATTTCTAAAAGCTGCAAAATAACAGACGACCCGGGCACAGAGGCTGCAGACACTGGGATAAGGGAGGAGACAGGAAGGAGCCTCCCTGTCCCTCACTTGCTTGTCACTGGTGAGGCATCGAGATCAATGTCCTCAGTGGGGTTTTTTTTCTCTTTTTTTTGATTGGACAGCTTTGACCGATGGCGCTTGAATTACTTCATCCCGGCATGCCAGGTCTGTGCCCTGAGCTCCGCATAAGTAGCTCAGTGTACAAAAAAACAAATTGCTGAATGGCAACAAGTTGCTTTTGTGGCGGAAGAAACTAAGGCCCCTTTCACATGGGCTGATCAGGAGGGGATCCATACACGGATCCCTTCAGATTGGAGCAGTACAGATTGGATCTCACTACTGTGACATCAATGTCTATGCAGGTTTTTCCTCCAAAAAAACAAAAACTGCCAGACCCCATGTTGGTCTATGGGGAATCGGATGTAAAGGGACATGTGTCCATTTACATGAGTATACCCCTGATCTGGCACTATCATGTCCAGCGAAACGGAACTCAGTTCTGTTTGTTTTTCTGGATCTGGCCACAGTCGGGTGGGTGTTGGCTGTCAATAGACACCCGTCTGTTTAAACCCAGCTGCCCATAGACTAGCATTGAGCATTCAATAAGGACCAGGGCCGGATTTCCCACAAGGCCAACCAAGGCCTGGCCTTGGGGCAGCAGGGAGTAGAGGGGCAGCAGGGGTGTGGAATTCCTATGTCCCGATGCCCAGGATATGCAGTTCCAGGTGCGGGTGGCGGGTAGTTGTTTTGGCAAGCACGGCTAAATGTACAGCAGGGAAGCCACTGTACAAGTGATCCCGGCGATGTCGCCGAGATCACTTGTATGCAGCCTGCAGGTCTGCCATTCTTCATGGAGGGGGGCTTGGCGGGTAAGGGGTGGCGCATTGAGGAACCTGGCCTTGGGGCAGAAGAGAGAGCAAACCCAGCCCTGATCAGGGCATCAGATCAGTTCACTGCAAGGTACACTTAGTTGACCATGCATTCTACAATATGATTGTACAACCAAGCAAGCAAGCAGTGATGCTCATACACATTCTATGAATGCAATAATTAGTTCTAGTGACACATAAGAGCAGATCTCCCGTAGCTAAATGCTGCCTGGTCTATCTGATGAGTAAACAGTGATGTGAACATAAGATCAGTTCCAGAGAAACAGTTATACATGCTTGTGGATTACACAGAAAACCCATACACAGGGCTAGATTTGAATACAGCTCATTTGAATAAGCCTGAAGGGTTGGGAATAACTGTTGGCACTGCACAGGCTGTGTAATAATGATTCACACGGTCGCACCTGACTGTTCTCTGGCCTGGGCCTTTAAAGCAAACCTGTCATGAAGCAAAGGGGGGCTGCCAAACCATTTTAAAAATATCTAGTTTCCCGGCTGTTATGTAGACCATCCTCAATGCTTTTGTAGTTGATGGACCCGTGTCTTTATTCAACCTCATATACTATGTAACTACTGTATGTAGTCACTGACCTGCAATGAGTATGACCCAAAGTTACCCTCAAACCTCTCTCTTCCCTTCTAGACTCTGAGCATGTCCCAGCTTGAAAATAGATGTAAACTGTAACTGAATGACAGAACTGTGAATCACAAACAATTGTCATTTTTTAAAATACAACACTTATCACCTTTAATCGCCCTTTTTACATCTCAGTGTTGTTGATTTCCTGCAGCCACTTTTTGTCTTCATGCACTTCAGTGCATGGCATTTCTCAGGACGGGTTTTCTGATGGAAAGTGGACCATGTTTGCCCAATGTACACTATTTTGCCAAAAGTATTGGGACACCCCTCCAAATCATTGGATTTAGATGTTTCATTACATTTCCTTGCTACTAAATATTCCACGGTCACCTGTTAGTGGTATTATAACGAAGTGGCAGCAACTGGGAACAACAGCAACTCAGCCACAAAGTGGTAGGCCACGTAAAATGTAAAATTAACATCAGTACCTGACCTCACAAATGGTTCAACATTCCCATAGACACACTCCTAAATCTTGTGGAGGCCAGAAGAGTTGAAGCTGTTATAGCGGCAAAGAGTGGGACAACTCAATATTGAACCCTACAGATTAAGACTGGGATGCCATTAAAGTTTATGTGCGTGTAAAGGTCGGCGTCCCAATACTTTTGGTAATATAGTGCATGTTGAAATGGCCATCTGTTTTTTCCATCAGAAGCCTGTGTAACAGAGTGACAATGCAAAAGCAGAGAGAGAGAGAAGTCACCCTATAACAGGAAGTGCCTGAACAAGGAACCTTATGGCAGAATCACCAGGCATTATTTATGCAGACTTAGAAATGTTGAAAAATACTTATTTGAGATTTTATTGGCCGAAGTGGTAATTTAAAGTTGAACTAAACCCTCCAGTACTCACCTCACCTCAAGTGATTCATCATTCACCAGCTCTCATGCCTGTGCCAACATCTTCTCCCCAACTTCTTTTGGATTCGCTAGTTTGTATAGGTATGGAACCCAGGTCACACATAAATACCGTCCACTACCTCTGCCCGCCAGTCTCCCACCCGGTCAGGAACTCCTTGCATGCCTAACTGTGACCAAACTGCTTTTTCTAACAGTGGCAGAGCTCTAGCCTGTCACAATACACATTTACAAAGAATGCATAGAAATAAAGCTTTGAAAACATTAAGGGTCCATTCACATTTCCCCATCCCTGTGGGTTGCATTATGCACACACGTGTGCCACCTTCCCGAAGGCTCCCCAACAAGGGTGCAACACATGACCACATCACTTTACAAAGGCTGCATGTACATGTCTCAGCCAATTCACAATCTCAGCCAAATCACAATCTGCCTTCACACCAATGGGGAGGGTAAAACCCCGGCTTCATCCTCAGTGCTGTATGTTATGTGTAATATAAATAGGGAAGTTATTAATCTGTTTAATCATGGTGTTTATAAATTATATTTTTGGCATTGTGTCTGACCAGGAAATTATGTGACTAATGTACCTGACTCATAGACAGCTGCTCTATCTGCAGTGTATAGATAATACAATGATACAGGTCTTCAGTAAGCAATATGAAATACACTAACCATGACATAAAGCTGGGACTGGGTCATCGCCGGGCATCGACCTGTCATCTATGTAGCGGTGCTGTTGGTAGCTATGAGTCTTCTTTGTCTTCACCAAAAAGGAGCGAGGCATTTTTCTGCAATAAAAATATAGGTTTACAATTTACAAATGTAAGATACACTCTGGTCAAGACTAGGGATGCACAGATACTTTTCGAGTACCAGTGCAGATACTTGGCATTTTCATGAGAACTACCAGGGTTGCAGCAGTAGCAGCTGGGACCTGGCTCTGGTGCTCCACCACTGTCCTGAAATCATTAGTCTATATTGTTTTAGAAAAACTGTCACAAGACAATAAACAAAAATGTATCAGTACTCGTACTTGTAAGTACTCGGCAAGTACCAGTACTTGTACTTGCAAAACTGGTATCTGTGCATCCCTTTATTTATATTTATAAACACAAAATAATACATTAAAACAGAGATGTAAAAATCCAGGGAGCTCCGTGTGCTCCTTACAAATTAGAGACAAGGATCACCAGCACTCAGCAATATCTTTCAATATGTCCATTTAATTGGACAAAGCATCACAATAACAAATGCCACCGTTTCGGGGCCACACAGGGTCCCTTCCTCAGGGCGAAAACCATTTGCGAGCACCATTTTTGCATAGGCCGGGAATGCTGTGAGGTGTGCGGAGGGTTCTTCTATCTATCTGCTCCTTACAAATGACAGCTGCCTCCTAACTTTTGAATTTTTCTCTAGTCTAGTCTTGGAGCTCAAAAAGTATCGGTACTTGTACCGAGTACTGTACTTGGTATCGGTGCATCCCTAGTCAAGACCGACCAGCACAAGTCTTCAGTTTCTCAGGCAGTTTTGTGACACACCAGTCTACTCCAGTCCCTTTTGTTGGTTATCTGATGATCCCAGAACCCTTCTTCCTCTAATGTTTGTAATACAGGAGAGCTTTTCCCAAACTCCTCACTATCTTTTACATGTAGAAAGTCTGTAGACCCAAGTTCTGTACAGTCGCAATTCAAAACTGCCCTGTAAGTTTGAATGTGACAAAAATATGCCAAGCTGAGACAGAAGAAGGCTCTAAGATTAAGCTCCAACTAGGGAACAAAACACGTCAGAGAGACATGTGGGGCAGAGTGTCAGATTTTATGCTGGAACTGGAACAGTAAAGTTTACACAGAACTCAGATTAGGGTCATCTTTGAAGACCTCCTGACTTTAGCACAGTTACAGTGTTTTTTGGATAGCAGAGCTGTTCTTTTGAATGAGTTACCTTGAATTGATCTTTAGATTGTACCTAACCTAGCTTAAAAACATTTAGCCCTTTCCGCAGTTAGGCTAAAAATTGATCAGAGCAGAACAAAGGGTAGGGAAGGAAGCACCACAACTGAGTTAAACCTGTCTAGGAGGTAGGGGTCTATGTGGAGTAGGGGCCTGATGAGTGGATGATGAACAGTGGGGTATTGGGGGAGGTGCAATACCACACCGTTCATCATCCACTCATCAGGCCCCATCAGGCCACGTAGACCTACCCTACCTTCTAGACAGGTTTAATTCAATTGTAACGCTTCCTTCCCTACCCTTTGTCCTGCTCTGACAAACAACGGACACCCCGGTCCGTACAAACGTGAAGCAGCACACTGAGTATTCAACCTCCCAGCCCACACCTCCCTAAACCTCCCCGCCCCCCGAAGAGCCGAAGAACGCTGTGCCACAGGACAACTCTCCTAATTTTTCAGTCTAAAAATTGGTGCCTGTGGAGTTTTCTTGAACCCAGGCTTTACAAGGGGTCTCAACTACTCTTGAAGCAAAAGCTAAGTAGCAACAGTGCTTTGACCATGAAGAATAAACCAACTGGTTTGCTTTAGAGCCACCTCGCAGCTGTTTATACTCACCTCCCCTTCATTCTTTCCTTCAATCTTTTGAAAACAAAAATCCTGGTACTTCCAGGTAAAGGAAGCAAATAAATTCTTCTTCCTCCAATGGGACAACACCGATTGCTTAAAGCCACCTCCAGAGGAATGGGTGCCTCCAGAACAAGGTGATACCATTATAAAAAGTTTGGCTGAGGTTTAAAGGGTCACACAGAAAAAGTCACATGACCTTCCCAACCTCTTACAGAATTACAGACCGGAAGTGCAGAAAGTGGAAAGATTTTACAGGTATGTTAATATATCTGCTCGAAATCAGGGTTTTCCCTTTTCAAATGAAGGCTTTATTTAAGCTCTACACCACACTGTTGCGCTATGCAATTAACATAGATTTCCCTGTAATACACATTTAATTTCCCTGGTACATTATTTCCTTGAAACCTTTCCCTTTCCTTGGCAGCAACATTGTATTTGCCTTCTTTACTCTACATGTGAAGCCAAAACCCACCTTTATGACAAATGTAATATTGTAAGATAGAACAATATTTACTGTACTTATTATCAGTTTTGTTCTCCTTTGTTCCCTTTTTGTTTTCGTACACATTTATAGGCCCTGGAATTAACCATCCTGAGAAATGGTCAAATATCTCTTATAGCATTGGGTGAAAGCAGAAATAGCTTAGCTCACAGAATGCCATGCTTATGACTACTCTTGTACTCATTGGCTCAAGGTTTTCTGACACAGATTCGGCAAACTGCCTCTCCTCCATCCACTTTGTCCCCATCCTCGAATTGTCTTTAGTTATGATGTCTGGTCTTAAGGCTGTGATACTAAGGCTAGCCAGTTGACTGGGGTAGATGGCCCAAGAAAGCTGTCCTTGGAGTGCAAGACATATAAGTCTCGCTTTGATGGAGACACAAACAGCGATGCAAAAAAAATTGTTGGGGTTCCACTCTAAGTTTTACTTTGAAAAAAGGGGAAAAAAACTTGCAGTGTGAACTTTTTTTTATCAATCTGCACACAACTGAGGACTTTGTCTAAGAGCAGATGGCTTTCTTACCGAATACCTTCTCAATACTTACACCATATACCCTTAATGAGGTACGAGAACATGTGGCCCATTCAGAATTACCAATACCAAGCATATAAGCAGTGATGCTTCGCAATAATAAACACTATACTTCAGGCTCTAACTGAAAGGATGACAACAACTGATATCTATTGCTGGAAAGCTGAATTACCTGCTGTCTCACAGGGGCTCTGGTGGTCTTGAGACCTCTCCACCAAAAATGCTTGGTTCTCTGAACTGCCACAAATATTAGACAGTAAAATGAGGGTTATGATGGAAAAGGCTTGTTGCACTCCAGTGACGTGCAGTACCTCTTCCTCGGGTGAGGCATTCCCCAGCCCTGCCCCCCGCCGACCAAAGCCCCACCCACCGAAGCACCGCCCCTGCTGGACGAAGCCCCACCCCCAACCCGTCCCCAAGTTAGTGTAAGGGAGGAAGACAGGGAGGAGCCTTCCTGTTCCTCACTTGCTCCTTACCGCTAAGGCTCCGTGACAGATTACAACGCGGGGAGGATTTCCCTGCTGTGTAACCTGTTAGATGCCGATCTGAATGGAGAAAAAGCTGTCAGCTTCAGACATGAAGCTGACAGCTTTTTCCTTCATAATTCTAGGTGAGGCTCTGCCTCCCCTGCCTCCCCTGACTGCACGTCCCTGTTGCACTCCTTACCAGAAAGTCCCGTAATCAGGGAAGGGTGCTCGGAATGACCGGAAATTGCACACAATATGAGAAATGTCACCAGCACACCGAGTCTTCAAGGATAATCAATCGTGGGTTTATTGAATACTCATGTCAAAAACAAAAGCGCTTTTGGGGCAGCACAGGGTCCCTTCATCAGGCATGGCAATGACGGACAAATCAGAGCCTTACAGTCCTTGCAGTTTGCCCATAGATAATAACCCTGTAAAGGGTCAATCATTAGCCGGGGGTGCAATACAAGACCGTGCCAAATCAGGAATATGAAGGGAAAGGCTTGTTGCACTCCTTACCGGAAAGTCCCGTAATCAAGGAAGGGTGCTCGGAATGACCGCGGATTATGAGAATTGGTCATTACTATGCCTGAAGGGACCCTGTGCGACCCCGGAATCGCTTGTGTTTTTGACATGAGTTTTCAATAAAACCCACAATTGATTATCCTTGAAGGAACTCGGTGTGCTGGTGACATTTCTCATATTGAGTAAAATGAGGGTGTCACCCATCCTTGATGAATTCTCCATAATGAGGAAAAATCACATAAAAGCAACTCCAGATGCAAAAGAGTGACATCTTTGTTGTGTTCTCATGGAAGACACAGAGGCACAAATAATGGCAAGGACATTTTAACACTAAAGACTCTGAGAAATACAAGGAGCTGGTGGGTTCAACCTACCATCCGTCTGTATCAAAATTTGACTTTTAGGTGTAGTTTGCCTTTAATTCTCTTCTATATACTTGCAGAAATCTCAAATGGAATTTTTACTTAGGCCAGTTTAAGACAGACTTGCACAGAAGGCTTTGGGTGGAGGGGCATCTCTGTGTAGCCTCCAGATGTGCATTAAAGGAGGAAACATGACTGCATTCTGTAGACACATTTGCACCAACGTTCCTGCAGGGAAGAACGGATCCATACAATAGTATTTTGATGTTCACTGTCATCGACTGTGCTCTCCATTTATCACCTTTCTAAAGAGGAAAGGGGGGACCCCATAACACAGGGTTTTCCCAAGGTCAGGATAGCGTAATATCACTCCCTTAAGAGCCCAGACAATGTTCAAGTGTCAAGGTATACTTTTCCTCTTCTCTATAAGTCTTACAGACAACCTAAAACAATGCACTATTATGTGGATGGGATGAGCATGCTGACTCAGTAAAACAGAAGATAATAAAATGAAATATGATTGGAGTTTTGTAGCTGTAGCAACCCTATAGCATATATAGCATTCTTGTCTAATTTCTCCAAAAAAAAGGAAGGCAAAGCCTCGCTTTGCTTCCTGAGGAGGAGCGGAGCGGAGCTCAGCTTCCTGTGACATCGCTGGCTGTCTCCGCCCACACACCGCTCTGTCGATCTGTGACAGGAGGCTGAGCGGTGTGGGAGGAGAGTAGCCAGCCACTCACAGCACTCTCCTCCCACAGTGCTCGGCCGCCTTTCACAGTTTCTCTCCTCCCCGCTGGGACACAGATCAGTACCTAGCGGGGAGGAGAG